TCATTTAGAAAATTCTTATACACAAAAGTGAATCTGCATTAAGCCATCACTTAAACAATCATCATTTTACCAATTTTGATTTTTCCCCCCAACATTATTTTTTCTGGAATATTTTTAAGTAAAGAAGTTATGTCATTCTACCTATAAATACTTTAGCATGCATCTTTAACTGTAGGATTGTTTTTAAACAATCACCATGTAAAATTAAAAATAAATTCTTTTTTATTTTAATAACACATTTTATTTAAGCCAGCACATCTAAAATATTATTGTTTCCAAAAATAAATTATTAAGATCATCTAATACCATAAGTAAGTTTTCATACTGGTCTCAGAAATGTTGTTCTGCAGTGGTTCCCAGAAGCTGGTGAGTTGGGGAAGTGGGGAAGCGCTGGCAAAGGTGTGCATATATGAGTTCAGATGTGCCCGGTGAGTACCTGCTAGAGATCTGATGCACAGGCCGGGTGACCATAGTTAGCAATGCTGTGATGCACACGTGGTAGGGAAAGAACTGATCCTAATTGTTCTCACACACACACACACAAAGTTAACTATGTGAAGGGATAATTATGTTAATTAGCTTGATTGTGGTAAACATTTTGCAATGAACACATATATCAAAATGTCATCTTGTATACTTTAAGCATATACAATTTTTATTTTCTATAATACCTCAGTAAAGCTGGGGGGAAGATGTTGTTTTACAGTTGATTTGTTCAAATCAGGATTCAAACAAGGTCTACATGTTGTATTTGTCGTGTCTCTTAAGGCTTCTGAATTATCTTTTTTTATGCCATTGATTTGTGAGAGAAATCAGGTTATTCATCCTTTCTGATTTGGCTGTTTGTTTCCTTGTAGCGTTACACACAAAAGTGAATAACCCTCTGTCCTCTGTGTTTCTTGTAATTTGGTTTGAGACCTAGATACTTGATTAGATTCAGATTAAATATTTTTTCTTCAGTCAGAAATACATCACAGGTGGTGCTGTGTTCTTTCTGTTGTACCACATCAGGAGGCACATCACTTCTCGATGTCCAAGATTTAGTGGAGCTAAGATTGATCAGTGGCACAGATGGTGTCCACTTGACCCTTCATTGCAAAGTTCCTTATCAATCTTTCACCTAATGATTTTATTGTAGCATCCACTGATGATTGTTCCTTAGATTTATTATTGTACTAGGGGTTGCGTAGTAGTGAATTTCTACTTCTATCATTTCTTCTGCCTTTACTAGCTGAAAATCTTCTGTGAGGAAGAATTTTCTCCTCATTAACTATTTAATAACTCCAGAAAAACAATCTGTATAAAAAAAGATGAAATAAATACATAATTTCCCCCCTTTATCAATATTCACAGTCATTGAGTTGCTGCACTAGAAACCTCCAAGTGACCATTTTTATTTATAATCACCATAAAGGTATGGATTTTACATATTTTGTGTGTTCGATACTTTACAGTCATTATTTTTCATATTCAAATTGTCCCATCTTAAGCAAAATGGGAGTCCCTTCAAGTTGGCTCCTATGTTATTTTGACAGGACTCCCACACACTTAAGATGAGCCGAATATGTCTTTCTTGATAACTTCTGAAATTTCATGCTCTGGACGTTCAGCCACTATTTCTCCACAGGCTCTTGGTTGTTTTTAATAAAACATAGTATTTAGGGACCACAAATGGGCACTGGCATTGCTCACTGCTATTGGGTTGTCACTGTTTCTAGGTCCTTTTGGTTGATAGATTTTTTAAAGGAAAACAATTATAAGTTTATCCAATATTTCCTAATCAAATTTAAGATCATGTACTTTTTACTTGATTTCTTTGATTTGATATTTATGTATATTTTATCTTATGCTGAATAGTTTAGTTTTAGTGACATTAGCATAATTACTTATTTAATCATAAAATATACCAATAAGAGTTTCAAAATAACAGCAATATTGCTCTATTAGTAAAACTACTGACTACACTTTATTTTTCCCTCATTACTTTGCCACAAAAGGTAACGTACAAAAGCATTTTGCTTTTTTCACTTAACAGTACATTTTGATTATCACTGCAAGTCATTTTTTTGCATCTTCCTTTTTATGGCTATACACTGTTGTGATGATGTACATGGATTATTTTTAATGTTTCTGACAAAAGCTTTACATTACCTCTCATGTTATTACCTGTTGAGTGCTTGTGAAAACCTACATATTTTAGAAAGGTTAGACCACAATTCCTGATAATCGGCCTACCTTAAATAAAGGCAGGAATGCAAAGACTGGAAAAGTGCAAACTTTCAACTAAACATTGTATTTTGAATACACACCAATTAAGAAAGGAAAAAAGACTCCAAAAAATGTAGGATGGGAGAAGCTAGCCTGAAATTATCAATAACCTATTAATGTTACTACTAATTTAAAAAAGCTGTTTGTCTTAATACAGATTTTCTGGAAACAGAGCCTCAAACAAAAGCTTATGAGACATCATCAAAATAAAAAGCTTCTGCACGGCTAAAGAAAGCAGCATTAAAATAAAAAGAGAACCAACCATATGGAAAAACTTATTTGCCAATGATACCTCAAACAAGGGTTTAATCTCCAAAATATATAAAGAACTTACACGATTCCACTCTAAGAAGACAAGCAACTCAATTAAAAAATGGGCAAAGGACTTGAACAGACACTTCTCCAAGGAGGACATACAGAGGGTCCAGAGACCTACGAAAAGATGCTCAGCATTACTAGCCATCAAGAGATGGAAATTAAAACCACAATGAGATACCACTTTACACTGGTCAGAATGGCCATCATAAACAAAACAACAAACGAGTGTTGGAGAGGTTGTGGAGAAAAGGAGTCCCTAGTGCACTGTTGGTAGGATTGTAGACTAGTGCAGCCACTATAGAAAACAGTATGGAATTTCCTCAGAAAACTAAAAATGGAACTGCCTTTTGACCCAACAATTCCACTGCTAGGATTATATCCTAAGAACCCTGAAACACCAATCCAAAAGAACCTATGCACCCCAATGTTCATAGCAGCACCATTTACAATGCCCAAGTGTTGGAAACAATGTAGGTGCCCATCAGTAAATGAATGGATCAAAAAAGTATAGTACATTTACATGATGAAATTCTATGCAGCAGAAAGAAAGAAGGAGCTCCTACTCTTTGCAACAGCATGGATGGAACTGGAGAGCATTATGCTAAGTGAAATAAGCCAGGTAGTGAAAGACAGATAACATGTGATCTCACCTTTAACAGGAACCTAATCAACAAAATGAACAAGCAAGCAAAATATAAGAAAAGACATTTAAACTGAGAACAGGCTGACAGTGACCAGAGGAGTGAGGGGAGGGGATTATAGGGGAAAATGGTGACAGGTTTGCAGGAACAATTATAAAGGACACATGGACAATAACAAATGGGGTGGAAACAGGGGAGGGAGGTAGGGAGTGCTGGGGTGGTGGGAAGGGACAGGGGAAAGGCAGAAAACTGTACTTGAACAACAATAAAAAATGTTTTTAAAAAATTCACAATATCCTTTTAGGAAAAAATCAGCATTTTTTATAAAATATAATCTAATTATAATAAATTCTAATGGAATTATTAAATATTTTGAGAAACTAGCTTTTCTCACTCTCTGTTGATTGTCAATCAAAAGTTTAATAGTCTAGCCCTGGCTGGCATAGCTCAGTGGATTGAGCACAGGCTGCGAACCAAAGCATCGCAAGTTCAATTCCCAGTCAGGGCACATGCCTGGGTTGCAGGCCACCGGCCCCCAGCAACCACACATTGGTGTTTCTCTCTCTCTCTCCTTCTCCCTCCCTTCCCTCTCTAAAAATGAATAAATAAAAATCTTTAAAAAGAATGTTTAATAGTCTTTAACCAAATATTCTTTTTTGTATTAATGTAACTTACTTAAAAAAAAATACATGTCTCTAATTTGAGTGACTCTTTGAGCTGTCCTAGATCTTTTCTCTTGTGGCAATTTTGAAATAAGACTTTAATACATGCTCATAATTAAATTATCTGAAAGGCTTTTTAAACCATTGTGAGGTTCCTATAGGAAATATACACAAATATTACTGTGGTAATAGACATGACTTGCTTTTTCCTTTTATGATAATGGTTGTGCTTGTGTATCCTGCATTGTCTCACTCAGATTGGTACATTATAGTGACAATATCCAACCTTAGGAGTCTAGGAGAGTAAAAAGTTTTGTTTAAAAACTACAAAGTAGCTTAAGCTAGATCCTCAACACTGCATTCTATTAACATAGTAAACATTAATTACAGTTATGTGAAAGGAAGGAAGGGGGAGAGGAAAGCAGAGAGGAAAGATGGATATATTTCATGCAAACTCCTCTTTCTCCACCATTGGGTAACTATCTATGTAGTAAGAACAACACAGGTGCTCACTAGCTAGTTTTTAAAGTGATGAATGAATGTGCGAGCTCCTCTGGGAGTATTAGTTACACAACTGCTCGAAGGTGAAGCGATGGAGTAGGTATCTTTAGCTTTCTTCCTATTCTGTGGTTTCTCTGACTATTAAGAGTTGGCTAGGTTGCAGATATATTTTAAAGCAAAATTCTCTCACATGAAAGGCAGGGAGAAAATGCTTCTCAATGTGTCCACTTTAGCACTGGGGAAGCCTAATAAACGTCATTATTATTTATATGAATAAGCCATGTAAATTCATAAAAACTATGTATACCAATAGAACTAACTTGTGGCTAGAATATGAACCTAAACTGTGCCAAGTTTCATTCTACCCAGTACTAGCTGTCCTGTTTTCAGTTACACGTACGAGTGCAGGCAGCCATCCTCCCAACGTATGCTTTCTTGTACCGATAAGGAAAAACTGCTGAAGTCATGAGGCTGACCCAGCAGAGCCCTCATGTGAGTCATACGAAAGCTCCAGCCTTACTGACCTCTGGCTAAAAGGGAGTGAACGAGGACAGGAGAGGCAGAGAGGGAGAGGTTCAAGTGTGAGCTCTCTCCCTGAGCCTAGAAGATTATGGGTCAAGAGCTGTGTGCAAAGACTCTCCAGCCGGGATGCAGCTGCCATCGCTGTGGGGAGGGAGGCGATGCGCACAGCTGTCAGAGGAGCGCGCCTGTGACGATGGAGGCTGCGATCGAGGTATTTGTATCCCAGGAGCAGCATCTTTCTCTATTGATAAGCGGAGGAGTTCAGAGGCTCCCTTTCTGTTGCAGGGTCTGATTTTTCTGCGGTAGATCTAAACCAATAAAAAGAAAATGCTATTAAAGTCTCAGAGAATTTATGGCTATTGTTATCAAATTTGGGATTATTATCTTTTTTTGTAGACCAAAAGGGAAAAATAATCCTATGCTTTGGGCTGCCTGAAACTCAATTGAAGTCACGAAAGTAGTTTTTCTCTTGAAATCTCTCCAGTACTAAACTACAAAGCCGAACCTTAAAAAACAAGCTGCAGTATTGTATGCCATGGATTCAACATTTCAATAATTAGCTCATGGTTATTAGCAATGCCATACTAGAAAGTTATTCCCCTAAATGACAGATTAAGGGGACATGAAGAAAAAGTGTAAGTTAAACAGAGAAAAATTGGAAGCTATCCATCAAAGAAATTTAGGTTAACCTAAGATTTAAAGACATATTTTTAGGTGAAGAAAGAATGTAGTGTTTCAACAATTGCTATCATTAAGATTTTTTTAAATGATCTACTTTCAGGAAAGGTGACTTTGGGGAGTGCAAAGCTTAGAAAACATTTGAAGATTAAAAAAAGACAACAAAAGGAAAAATGGTTTATGGCAGCCACTAAGTCTTGACTTTGCATAAATTTTATTTCTGCACTTTCCTTTTTTTTCTCTAGCTAACAGACCTAAAAGAAGCATCTTGTTCCATGACTTCATTTCACCCCAGGGGACTTCAGGCAGTCCGTGCCCGGAAGTTCAAGAGTAAAAGGCCACGAAGTAACAGTGATTCTTTTCAGGAAGAGGATCTGAGGCAGGGCTTGCAGTGGGTGAGTGAGCAGCTGATGCTGATCAACAAGGATTTAATGTGTGCTTGTCTGGGGAGGCTGGCCCTGTTTCCAGGGCAATTACTAAGCAGACCTTCTCAAGTACACTCTGGCAAATAATAAAACAGTCCTCTTTCTTCTTTTTCCAATCTCTCACCCCTACTTGTTCCCCTTAAGCAGAGGAAGAGCCTCCCTTTTGGGGCAGCCTCATCTTACTTGAACTTGGAGAAGCTGGGTGAAGGCTCTTATGCTACAGTTTACAAGGGGATTAGCAGGTAAGTGATGCATAGTTGGGAGAGAGTCTTTGGAGATGAGGATCCCATCCCCCCATTTGACATTGTAAAGCCAGGACCTGTGCAGGACACCATGGTCAATAGGGAGAGATATGGTAATTTAAATAGCCTTGAAAGAAAAATAAACTTTTCCTGACCCAATTATAATCAGCCCACTGAGATATCAGCTTTTCTTCTTTTTATTCAATTCAAAATAGACTTCCTCAACTACTGAACCAAAGAACAATTACTGCTCTTTGCCTGATGGGAAGTGCAGTTGGTAAGATGTCTCTAAATAAAGTGTCGTTCATATCCCTCCCTAAAACATGAGAAAGGTTTGCAATGGCAACCTTGAGTTTTCTCCCTCATTCTGCCTCTTTGCCTTCATAGAAGAAACTGAAGCTGATTTCTACAAAGTAGGGTATGTACAAAAAATGGTTAATTCTCGGGTTTCTACACTTATAAAATAGACAAAGTGGGTGAAGAATAAAAATACTGCTAATCCAAAAGCCAAGTGCCCATTTTGGCTAAAATAAACTTTGTTAAACATATGAAAGATCCAGGAACTCCACTGCTTTTTAGTAAAAAAAAAAAAAAGAGTTGGAGGTCTGATTTCTTTATGTTACTTCAGGGTTGAAAATAATAGCTCAATAATGGTTAAGGGTTAATTAAATTTTTTTAATATTCAAACTACCAGGCAAAATATTTATCATTTATCTTAGTACTTGTGTTATAATTTCTACTTGTTAAAACAGGGTTTTAGGGGAAATGTTTTAAACACATTATGCAGAAACAGAATTTAATGTGTTTCCATGGACTATTGCAGGAACCGAGAATCTAAGATTTCCTTCAAAGGACTCAGCCTCATAATAGGACAAAAAATACATTAGAAATACTTGTCGAAGTGCACAAACATATATGTAAAGTGTATTCACTGAAGCGAGATTTATTTAAAAAAAAGTAAAAATGTGACCACAAATATCCATTAATGAAGGACTGGCTAAATAATCACCATACAAGGAAATAATATGCAGCCACCTAAAATATAAGAGAGATCTCTACTAATATAAAAAGATGTCCAATATTTTAAGAAACAAAAACAAGTTACAGAACAATATGCACTCTATGATCTCATTTAGAAAAAGACACCCAAATGTACTTACTATACATGTATAAATTGGTAAATTCATAGAGGAGTCTGGAAAAATCTCCAAGATATTGTTAAAAGTAGATACTTCTAGTGGTTGATACTGAGGTGAGGAAAGAAAGATCACTAAAACTTTTCACTTTATTCACAAAGCCACCCATTATATTTATTATTTAAAAACAAGTTTAAAAATATCATAGAGATAGATGCCAAAAAGACATTTGATAAATTCAGCATCAATTACTAGTTTTTACAACTCTGAGCAAAATAGGAATGGGATGATACTTTACCACTAAGATATAGAAATTTTCAAATCAACAGCCCATATATTTTTTGTTGTTCAATACCAGAGATATTGCCATTAAGTTAGAGATAGGGCAAGAATGCCCATATCTTTTATAGTAAAATATTATTGTTAATATTTTAGCTGATGCAGTGAGGGAAAAAGAATGTATATCACTTTTGTGGATTATAGAACTGTCTACCTAAAAACCCAAGATAATCATCTAAGAAACTATTAAAAGTAGTATGACAAACAGTAAGATCAATTACAAAATAAAAACACACTTCTCAAAAGTTGTCTTTATGTATTAACAATAACCATTCAAGAGAAAATATAGTAGGAGAAATTACTCTCACAATAGCAAAGACAAAAATCATTAGCATCAACACATGGGAAGGATTTATCCAAAGATTTATTATGGGACATAGAACACATGAAGAAAAAGCCAGAAGGGCATTTTGTTTTAATACAGGCACTCATTCAGTCTACTAATATTTTTAAGCTCCTACTGTGTGCCAGACACTATTTTAGCCAATAAGGATTCACCTGAAAATAAGACAAAAATATTTTCTATTATGGAGTGTACATTCTAGTGGGGGTGTGATAGGCAACACATAAAGTAGTAAAATACTGAGTTTGTCAAAGAGTGAAAAGTGCTTTGAAAAAGTACAAAACAGGGAAGAGGGTAAGGGGGTGCCAGCGTGGGGTGGTGGATGGGCATTTTAAATAGAGTAATGGGAAGGGAACACTTGAACAGAGACTCTGCCATGGGTGGTGTGAGCTGTGCACATGTGTGGTGGAAGAGAGCTTCAGCCAGAGGGAACAGCATGTAAGAAATCCCTAAGGCAGGAGCAGGCCTGGCTCTGGAAGCAGATGAGGACAGGGAAAAGATGCACTTGTAGTGGGGGGATATATAGGGTCTTGTAGATCATTCCAGGAACGCTTGTAAGAATAATCGGATTAGAACAAACATCTAATAGTGCAAAGATGCCAATGATTCTCTAATTTACAGTCTTAATGTATTGTAAATGTGTCTATCCAAAAGCTACAATAATTAAAATAGTGTAGCACAAGTATATAAGAAAAGACAGATTGGCCCTGGCCCAGTAGCTCAGTTGGTTAGAGCATCATCCCAAAACACTAAGGTTGCAGGTTCCATCCCTGGTCAGGCCACATACAAGAATCAAACCAATGAATGCATAAATAAGTGGAACAACAAATCTCTCTCTCTCTCTCAAGTCAATAAAATTTTAAAAATAAAAAAAATAAAAGACAGATCAAAGAAATATGATTTTAACACATTCAGAACAGTCACAAATCCAAATATTAGCAAGATGTAATATATAATCATGGTGGCATATCAAATCAGCAAGGAAAAGAGGACAGTCCAGTACATGGAGCTGGGACAATTGTTAACAACTTGGAAAAGGTAAAAATATGCAATATAAATTTTCTTTAATCCCAGGATTAAAGAATTAAATGGGAAAAAAACAGGAACCAGAAGAATAGATAAGAGACCTTTGTGCGTGACCTTTGGGTTGGAAAAGGTCTGTCTCCACAGAACACTTAAGTCAGACCCTTAAGGGAAGATTGAAAGGGTCCGTGGTGCCCCATCTATCCAAGTATGTTCTAGGGAGCCTCAGTTTTGAGACACCTTAATAGAGGTTTCATTGAAACAATCACTATTGTCAAATTGACAAAGGAACCCTAGAACAAAATTAAATGTGATCCTTCATTGTAGGTGCTCTCAGCATCAGAATTTCAAAGACATGCTAAGGCACAAAAAAATTGGTGAAAAGGATATACAAAATATTTTAATTAAAAGGTGGGTGAATAGGCAAATCACAAAGAAGAGGAAAGACCAATATATTTATGAAAATTCGGTTCCAAAAGTAAAGAAATAGAAATTAAAATGTGATGATCCTTTTTACTTATGAACAGGCCCCCAAAATGAAGGTAAAAGCATGCTACAAAAAACAAATCCCACATTTATGGGGGTGTGTCAAAGGGACACAGGAGCCAACTGCAAAAGTTCCCAAAGGACAAAGGTGGAAAAATTTGAGCCACAAGATAAACTACTTTGTACTGCAATGTTGGATTATAACTCAAAGTATAAAAGAAATATCTATGAGTCCACATGGATATAAATAAATGGTTCAATAAATTAATAATTGGGAGAGAAGAGATACATCTCTCATGCAGAATTCCAAATAATTGTGTAGATAACCCACCCTCAAGGAGATGGAGCAAAACTCCCCACTCGTTAAGTGTGAGCTACCCATCGTGATGTTCTTCCATAAGTGCAGTGTGGGGGGCGGGATAACCACAGGGAGGAAACCTGACAAACACACCCTCAGCCAGGTGATTAAGGACAACATCAAAAGTCATAAATTATGATGATATGTACCCTTACCATGGTGTAATGGAAATGGTACTCTACTTCCTCAAAACTTGTAACCCCAGTGTAGTCATAAGAAAAATTCCAGCAGAGAGGTATCTTATAATATTCTTGTCCAGTACTCCTCAAAGGTCATCGGAACCAAGGAACGTCTGGAAAACTGTCATAGCCCAGAGGAGCCGAAAAAGATGTGACAACTAAATGTAATGTGGTACTCTGTATCCTGGACAGGAAAAAGACATTAGGTAAAAACTAAAGAAATCCTGGCAATCATATTGCAATACATAAATGTATCAAATCAATACATTGCACACCTTTAACTTATACAACATTATATGCCAATGATATCTCAATTTAAGAAAAGACTAAGATAAATTGATTTCATAAGTTTACACATCTACTTTAAAAGAGATAAAAAGAAAAATAGTCATTGTAAGAAAACATTTAAAAATAAAATTGATAATTCATAAATGCCATAAAAATAAAAAAGAAAAGGTAATAAATAATAGTAAATGGATTTTTAAAACTTAAAAACATCTATGATCTATCACTTTCATACAGCAATTGCACATGTGCATTCTGTCTTCCACATGCACACAGTTTACAGTTGATCTGAGCAACACGGGTCCAATTATACAGGGATTTTTTTCCTTGGATACTGTAAATGTATTTTCTCTTCCTTATGATTTTCTTAGTAACATTTGCTTTTCCCTAGCTTACTCTACTGTACAAAAACATTACATAAGACATAAAACATACAAAATATGTGTTAATTGACTGTTTTATGTTATTGGTAAGTCTTCCATCAACAACAAGCTACTAGTAGTTAAGTTTTAGGGGAGTCAAAAGTTATATGAGGATTTTTGACTGTTTGGGGGAGACGGGGCGGGTGGCCCTAATGCCTGCATAGTTCAAGGGTCAATTGTATTTAAAGTTACAAACATGGTATGCTTGCTGTTTTGTATTCTATTGTCTATTGTATTGTGAATTTTTTCTGTTTTTTTCCTACATGTTTCTAGACATAAGCCTCCATTATGAATGCAAAACACTTCTTGTTTTGAATTTTTTTAAATTTTATTTGTTTATTTGTTTTTAGAGAGGGGAAGGGAGACATAAAGAGAGGGAGAGAAACATCAATCATTGGCCTCTTGCAGGTGCCCAGCCAGAGCTCAAGCACATGCCCTGACTAGGAATTGCTCAGCCCACTGAGCCATACCAGTTAGGGCCGTATAACAGATTTTTTAACTTTCATCTACTGTTGGACATTTCTGATGTTTCTATTTTTTCTATTATAACTAACAGTAGAGGATATTTTTGTCCATTAGGAATTTTAAAAATCTTTATTAAATAAGTTTATTGGGAAAAATGCATAGTTATGATAGTTTTATGGCTTTTCCTATATATTATGCTACATGCTCCTCAAATTTTACCAATTTACAATGCAACCCACAATAAACAATACAATTGCACTGCAAAAATTAAAAAATTTATAATAAACTATGAGCTTTAATTAATAATAATGTATCGACATTGATTCATTAATTTTTAAAAAAGTACCATACTATGTATGATGTTAACAATAGAAGAAACTGGTTGTGAGGTATATGGAAATTCCTGTACTATCTTCTTAATTTTTCCATAAATCAAAATCTGTTCTAAAACATGAAATCTTAAAAAAACACAACAACTCTGCCCAGTGCTGGCGAGGGAGTGTTGGAATGGCCACTTTCACGACCAGTTCATGGTGTGACCACTCTGTGGCAGAATTTGGAAACATGATATTAAAACAATAAAAACACATGCGCAGCATACTGTTTGACTTAGCAATTACACCACTACCCTAAGAAAGTAATAGGGGCTGTGCAAGAAGATCGATCTACAGATATGATCATCACTGTATTTTTGTAAGTCAAAAAAGTTAAAATAATTTAAAAGTATTTGGAGTTGTCTAAACACATTTTAGCATATGCGATGAAGTATTATGCCATTATTAAATATCACATAATACAAGAATGAATAATACAAAAAGTTAAATGGAGGAAAAACAGTTTATTAATAAGATCTGATCTGATCTGAATGAACCCCACTGTATTAAAAATAATATATTTATACTCTCATTAAAATCTTCTCAGTTCTCTGGTGCTTAGCTTACTTATATCAGCAAACAAAACAATAAATAAGTAGAGAGTAGGAGGAGATGAAGAGAGAGAGAAATAATGGTGGGATTGGGCACATCAGGTAGCACGTAGGAGGCCACAGATTTTGGCTTTTATTCAGAGTGACAGTGGTTTGTTTTGAGCAGAGAAGTGACTTGTTTTGACTTTCACTTTAGAAGGAGGCCCCAGGCTACTCTGTTGAGAGTACACAGTAGGAGTACCAGTGTGCAAGCAGGGGGATGGTTAGGAGGTCACTACAATAATTCAGATGAAAAGTAAGGATGGCTCAGAGAAGTGCACAAAGGGAAGGAAAAGGAACGAGATAGACCAAAATATTATGAGGATGGATTCAGTTGGGGGGAGTTCTCTGATTTCTGTATTCTTCAAATTTTTAAGTAATGAACATGGATCACTTAGATAAAGAGAAAAAATGTTTTGGTATATATATGTATGACTTTTAAAACTTCATTTTGAAAAAATTCTAGATTCATATGCTAGAATATATTTTGAAGGAAAAGTTCTTTTTGTTAAACTGCTATGTGCCATCCTAATGTGTGACCTTTCACCCATTCTTCTAGAATAAACAGGCAACTAGTGGCTTTAAAAGTCATCAGTATGAATGAGGAGGAAGGAGTCCCATTTACTGCGATCCGGGAAGGTAAGAACAGTAAAATGGACCCAACAGACCTGTTTTAATTCCCTGTTTTGGGGGAAAAATGCATTGAGTCTATCCATTCAGCATCTAGCTTTTGATGTTTTTAGAAATAATATTCTAATTGCAATTTTATTCTTTACACTGGTTTTCATATTTACACTATCATTTTACTACTTATTCCTGAGGGAATTCAGACTCAAAAGTATTATGTTAGTTGACCAAGCCCATGAACTCAGTGAATATTTACTAAGTACCTCTGTGTATTTGGTCCCACACTAAGTGCAAAGGTTCTATCTATGTAACCCCAGAAAACTCCATATAAAAGATAAAATAAATACTATAATCCCATAAATTATGACTAAATAACTTGCTTGAAAATAATAAATTGTTTAGATAGCATTTGAAAAACTCTTTGGGAAGGCACATGTTTTTAATGTTCCTGCATTTTCTTCATGCCCCGGGCAGCACCGCAGGTGGGTGAGGGTGGACTTGGGTTTGGATCTTAGATCTACCAATTACTAGTGGTGTGACTGTGAGTAGATTACCTATTTGAGACTCAGTTTATTGCAGAAAGAGGATAATACTGGTACCTATTTGAGTTGTTATGAGGATTAAATGAGAATATGCTTTAAAGCACTAATCAACCCTAACTGGTGTGACTCAATTGGTTGAGCGTTGCCCTGCAAAGCAAAAGGTCACTGGTTTGTCACTGGTTTGATTCCCAGTCAGGGCACATGACTGGGTTACGGCCCATCCCAGTTTGGGATGCGTGAGAGACAACCAATAGATGTTTCTCTCCTTCTCTTTCTCCCTCCTTTCCCCTCTCTCTAAAAATAAATAAATAAATAAAATCTTTATTTTAAAAAAGCACTAATCACAAAATCCATTTTCAGAATTCAACAAATGCTGGCCATTATTATTCCATTTTTGTTCCTTTCCCTTAGTGATGACTTGTTCACCATCAAGAAGCCGCTATAGTGAAAATAAATCATTAAAAATTCTGTTTAATAACCTTTTTACATGAGCCATTTGAGAAAAAGTGATAATAGGATTGTTATCCATTTCATCAAAAATCCAGAGAAATGGCTCTTCCTTGGCCTTACTTTCTCCCTGTTTAACCGCTTCATTTTTCTTTCCCTTCTTTCTGTGTACATCACGTATGCAAAGCCTACTGCTGGGCGTTGTGATGGATGAGAAGAAAAAGCCTGATCTTTGCTCTATATCATTTTCAGATGTACCAAAGCAGATGGTTCCAGTTACAACCAGTGTTATAATGGAGGTAAAAAAGACATAAACTAAGATGAGAACCAGTTAGCGTCAGTGTGGCTAATGGAGTCAGTAGATTTTGGACAGAGCTTGGAAGGAAGGGTTATGCAAACAGGCATGGAAAAAGCAATTCAGAAAATGAGTTTATAACTGAATTTGATGCCATTTTCAACAGTCTTTCAGAGCCCCTGGGAAATGTGTTATTTTGAATTTAAGTAGAAGGGCCAAATGGCTATCAGGTTAGCTGGGGATTCAGCCTGGTAGGATCAGGTGCATTCTGGAGAAAAGTATGGTTTTAAGTGTTTAATATAATGGAGGTTGCATTTACTAATGCACTTATTGGTGGTCGTCATTAAAGATCGGCCAGATTTAAACAGAGATGTATATAGGTTAAGGAGTATTTCTGAATGTAATAAAAAGTCCCCAGGCCACCTCGTTCTTATGGTGTTTCCTTCATGCACTTGTCTATTGCTTCAGGTTTGCCTCACTCAGATTTTGCCCACAGCCAAGTTTTTTGGGTTGATACTTGACAAAACCTTTTTACCGGTGTTGCTAATAGATGGTTCTCAGCGGGGTTCAGAAAAGCTGGATCAGTATTGTTCTGTATGCTAAATGTTTCTTTTATTGCATATTTACCAGGACTTGGCTCTCCATCACAGGTGTTTGCAATTACAGTTAGTATTCAACCGTGGACTTTGTTGGTTTCCTTTATGGACTTACCTTACTGAATGCTTTGCTTTATAATATTAAAAACCACAAAAGGATTTTTGACACATTAGAGGTTGTTAGGCATCTAATTTCCAGCGATGAATGTTTCTTTTTCCACCAGTGTAAAAGTGGGGAGCCCTTGTTAGAGCAGTCCTCTTCCCTCCAGAAGATGTGAGAGCTCGTTTGAAAACTTTGGCACTGTCCCACTTTTCCTGAAAGAACTTTAAGGATGTGAGACCAGGGAGACAGGAGGTTAAATGAGAAGGGCTGGAAAGCAAAATAAGAACAGCTGGAATTCATTAGTTAGAATCCAGGGTCACTAGCTAAAAAGGCAACTGAAAGCCACGTGCAGAAAAACTGAACAAGTAATGCAGACTTCTTTAAAAAGCCTTGAAGAAGGAATTACTTTTCCTGGACATTTTGGCTGAATTATGATATATCAGCCACAAAGATTTATTGAGTAGGATGTTACTATATGTACAGTTTCTATATAAGTAGAAGACGTGTGGCAGTTTATTAATCTAGTCATTTGGAATACTATTTGATCTTAACATGTAATGTTATGAAATTAGCAAAAGTATGAACAGCACTAAGGGAAACATATCTTAATACCAATGCCAGATAATTTTCATGTTACCCCTTTCAAAATTCCCTTAATAATCTTTGAAAACAGATCATCATCTTCTTCTTGTTCTAATATATAGCCATAATTCAAACCAAATCTCTGGTTCAAAAATTTATGCACTCTATGCAGTCATTGTACAAATATTTATTGAGGACCTACTATGTCCAGGTATTCTGCTGGCTACTAGATACATAGTAGTGCACACCATAGCCATGCCCTCTACCCTCATTCTTTTGTTAATTAAAAAGATTAGCTACCTTCATAGCAACTTAGAAAATCTTTCATAACTAGCTCTACAATTATATTTTAAATGTTTATTTTTACAACTAGGAGAAAACACTTTCATTTGAATAGACTAGTATTTTAAATTTTTACATAAGAACATGTTTCTTAGTTATATTAAACTGTGTCTCAACATCTTAACAATGCACATTATTTTAAATTTCGTCCTATAACATTAGAAACTTTTGGTTTAAACCCAGGATATTCAGCTTGTTCGCAGCATTTGTTTAGGAAGCAGCCATATAACTAACCTTTTCTGAGGACTCAGCATATGATATAACCTCCCCTGCACATACATTATCTTGTTTTAAAACCCTTACACCAACCCAAGGAGGCAAAGTGTGTTGGTTCTGCAGTAGAAAGGAAGGTATCCAAACCTCAGAGAAGTTAGATAACTCGCCTGAGTTCTCAGAACTAGAGATCAGAGTTGTTAGGTAGCAGAATCCAATCTCTTCTATTCAAAATCTTGTCTATTTTATTGTGATAAATTAAGAACTCCTTAACTCAAACATGTCTTCTTTAGCAACAGTAAACATGAAAATCTATTTTTATGATACATTTTGTATAAATGTTAAGCAAAATGCAGAAGAAACATTTTTAAAGAAAATAATATATAATATTGCATATTTGTCAATTCTGATTCTGTCATGGATTGTACAATGCCAGTAATTGCAGAGTTTAAATTAGAAACAGTTTTAGTTAAGAACCTTTTAAGAGCATTCTCTTGTAGAAAACATTACAAAGTAATTATTCCCAGTCCATATATGTGAAAATGGCTAAAAATAGACTAAGAAATTCCCTAAGGTCATACAGTGAGGTACAGAATACCAATTAGAACCTCTGACTCATTGATTACCACAAATAGATTGCAGAAGGCCAGGCTGACAAGAAGTTCTCCATTGAACACAATCAAATCACATCATAGACACAGCATATCTATATGTGCATAGTTATACTTTTATAAAACAAAGTGATGCCAGGGTGATGCTATGTGATAAAATTATAATTCCAGAGAAATCAGATAATAACTACTTGTCTAACACTTGCCTTAGCATTTATCTTGATTTCTTTTCTTGGAATTCATAACTGAACTCACTGACTTGACTTGTGACACCCAAACCAGAGAAAATGTCCCATCAGGAACTACAGACTCTTAATTCAATGCCCAGTGGGGGTTGGGGTAGGAATTGGCTCCATTGCTGACTTCTACATAAACTCATTACAACTGTCTGGTCTTCATTAATTCACAAGCATTTAGTGAGCACCACATGCCAGGCCTGTGCTAGGTGCCGGAGATGCAAAGACAGGGACAGTCCATGTCTTCAAGAAGCTCACAGCCTAGAAAGAGCTTTGACTACCAGGCACTCACTATATATGACTGTGCCCTAGAACTTTCAGAGCCGCCTTGTTCTTTCTGGTCATCATCATCTTTTACCTTTCCTTTTACCAGGGGTGACCAACCCATGGCTGTAGGCCACACGCATCCTGGGATGACTATGGATGCAGCCCAACACAGAATCGTAAATTTACTCGAAACCTGTTTTTTGCTCATCCGTTTTTGTTCGTGTTTGTGTATTTAGTGTGTGGCCCAGGACAACTCTTCTTCTAGTGTGGCCCAGAGACTCCAAAATGTTGGACGCCCCCAAGAACCTTTAGAATCTAAACTAAAGCAGAACAGAGGAGAGTAGCATCAAATTTTTATGACCCACTGCTCTTGCAAAGTATCAATTTTCATAAAATTTTACTGAACTACAAATACCAGTGAAATTAGTGAAAACAAGAAATTAAATATTCTCAAATAATTGCAAGATGAAAATGACATTTTTCTAAATTAGTAAATATCTTACATATATGAGAATCAAATTAAATGCCATGTAATATGAAACCAGTTAGTCATATTAAACACCTTTTTGGGTATTTGAAATAAAAAAATATTTTGCATTTTTAAAATGCTTAATATGAGCTTAATAACTTTAAGTCGTGGGTCATTTTTCTTGATCTTTGGGATTATGTTGTTTTCTTCAAGTTTTGTCTTTGGCTTTTCTGGGTGTTCTCATGATCATACCAAGTTAATATACACAGAATTCTTACAACAATGCCTGGCATCGGGTAAATGCTCAATGAGTGCTACCTATCATCATCATCATTATCATCATCATCATTATAAAAGTATTTGGGAAGCACTCAAAGAAATTCCATTGTGGTTCCGTTTGTCTGGAGCTTTAAAGGCTCCCCAATTTATCTTTGTGTCTTTTCCTCGAAGAGAAATGAAAATTACTAGACATCAAATATGTGAACTATAAAAGCAATAATTTTACAGGAATCAGAATGTTCTGATTTTAAGATCTTTCCCTTCTCAGTTGGCTTTGCATCCCTCAGCTGATTAGCCTGCAAAACACATCACATCCTGCTGTGAAGTTTATGAGGCAGACTTGAAATTAGTAGAAATATCTTTCCTTTCTGGGTTTGAGACCCACACAACTGAAGCCATAGGCATTTTTGATCCCTCTGGTGGATGGACCAAACAACATACCAACACCATGAGATAAATGCTTTAAACATCATCCACTTTTTCATGTAAATTCTCTATTATTCATCATCAAAAGCCACAATTTTCATGTAAGTATTTCAGTAGTTCTGGGGTGTCAAACAACAGCAGTTGTAGACATGACCGTAACAAACACAACATTTATAATCTAATGAGGATAACTAAAAGAAACAGGAGATAATAGCATCTTCAGCAGAAATACCCTATACCAACCAATTAGAGGTATAGAAATGATATTAGGCAAGTAGTGCCCACCAATTTGATAGTAAATGCTCATAATAGAGCAGACATTGTTCTGGACACTGAAGATATAGCAATAAGCAAAAGACAAAAGTGCCTGCTCTTAATGGAATTTATATTCTTAAGGGTGGAGACAGACAATAAACATATATATAATATGTCAGGGGTGATGAGTTGTATGAAGAAGACTGAAGCAGGGCACAGGAATAGGGATCACTGGGATGGGAGGTGTCAGGGAAGCCAAGACTTGAAGCAGAGACCTGAAGAAATGGGGGAGGAAGCACGCAGAGAGCTTAGACAAGAGGGTTGCGTGCAGAGGCAAAGGTAAGTGCTAAGACCCAGGGAGGAAATGTGTTCAAACGTGCCCAGGAAACAGGTAGAAGGCCAATATGACTAGAACCAGCAAACAGAAATTATCAAGAAAGCTGTCTGAAATAAAGATTATCCCCACTAATGTTAGCAGTGAGCCTTACCCTAAGTGAGTATTATTCTTTGAGCTTTTTAGCAAATGATAGTATTAAACCATTATAATTAACAAATCATGCCCCCATGGTTTTAAAAATAAGCATCAGGAGTTTTAGTAATATATTTAACTGAGAATAATTTTTGTATTAAAAATAAATCTAAACATCTTTACAATATTCTTAGTAATTTCAGCTTTATCCTTTTTTAAAAGATTTTATTTATTTATTTTTAGAAAGAGGGGTAGGGAGGGAAAAAGAGGGAAAGAAACATTAATGTGTGGTTGCCTCTCATGCATTCTCCACTGGGGACCTGGCCTGCAACCCAGGCATGTGCCCTGACTGGGAATCGAACCAGCGGCCTTTTGGTTTACAGGCTGGCTCTCAATCCACTGAGCCACACCAGCCAGGGCCATATCCTTTTAAAATCTAATTTTGGCACATATTTTGTAATTGTGTGTGGAGAGGGGGCATAGAAAGAGAAAGAGAAAATGAACATAATTTACAAATAAAAATACACATAAAACACAAGAATGTTTAACTGAAGTCAGAAGTTATTGTAAGTATGAAAGGTATTGAGAACTCTAGCAGAAAGTGACATAAGCTTAAAAAAGTTTAAGTTGCAATTGAATACAATAAATACAATATTATATTAGTTTCAAGTATACAACATAGTGATTAGACATTTATATAACTTATGAAATGATCATCTGGATAAATGTAGTACCCATATCTAACACTATACTCTAGTTATTGCAGTATTATTGACTATGTTCCATTTACTGTGCTTTTCCTCCCCGTGACTGTTTTTATAACTGGCAATTTGCACACCTTCATCCCTTCTCCTTTTCATTCCACCATCCATCAAAATGTTCTCTGCATTATGAACTGGTATAAATAAAATTTTAAGATAATAATCTGGGAGTGGGGATTTAGTGAGGTTCAAGGTGAAAGGGAAGGGCAATTATTAATTCTTTTTTCTTTTTTTGTTTTTATTTTATTTTTATTTTTAATTTTTTAATTGTTGTTCAACTATAGTTGTCCCCACTTTCCCACATTGCTCTCCCCTGCCCTGCCCACCCCTCTTCTGTCACATTCAATTCTACCCCCTCCCCCATTGTCCTTGTCCGCAGGTCCTTTACACATGTTCCATAACTTGACCCTTCCCCGAGACATGGAAATAAAGAACAATCTGACAGTGGCAAGTATTAATTCTAATTTGCAACTGTGTGATGCTTGACATTTGCCAGGGATCCACGCATGGAATCTGGTTCCATCCTCGTGTCAACCCTGTGAAATCAAGTCAGGAAAGGCATTATCTCTGTTTCATGAGGAGTGAACTGAGACTTGGGTTGAGATACTGCCTGGAGCTCACTTGGATAGAAAGTGACAGGGCCAGGATTCACATTAGGGCTTCTGGCTCCACAGTCAGCTCTCTGTTAAGACACTCAATAAATATATTTGATAAATTAAGTGATTACTCTTGGCTGAGGGCTGTACTAGGTGGTGTGGCAGCATCTGAAAGAGAAAGTCACTCCTTGTATTTGCGTATAGCCTTCAGTTTGAGACTAGGGACACTAAACAGATGCCTGTGAAACTGTTTACTTCATTTTCAAAGCAATGCACTTGTAAGAGTGAAATAATAAATTTAGTTCATAAGGATTCAGAGAGCAAAAACTAAAGTTAGAGTATTATTAGTAGAGATAAGCAGGGTTAACAGGTGAAATAGGGCTCCTTAGGTGGTAAAAAGTTGCCAGCTCAAACTAAGGTGAGTAAAGATGGAAATTCACTTGCTCAGAGATCTGGTAACTGCAAAGTAGCAGGGAGCAAATGATGTCGCTAGAATCCACTCCTGATTTTCTCTGCCTAGTTGTATTCCCAGGTATTGGTAATCTGGCCAGAGCAGCTCCTGGCTAAATCCAACAAGCTCAGCCCTCACTGTAGAGAAGAAAGCATTTCTATCCTGATGGCACCAGCAAAATAGCGTTCACCCAGGAGTGAATTTCGTGCCTATCTCTGAACCAATCACTGTGGTGAAAAAATACTGTGCTCTGATTGGACAGGCTTGGGTCACATGTCCAGTCCTGGGTAGGGGTGGGGTCAGCCACATCAGAAAGAGCATTGACTTGAGTAGTGATTTCTTCTCCAGAGGAGAATAGAGGTTCCCTCCACCCCAGAAGGGAAAAGGGCTGTCAGGAGAGCAAAACAACAGAGGGTCATTACAATGGATAAGATTACTGAAGGAAGTAGTTTTGTTCTAAAATTTGAGGGGAGCATCTGAGTTTGTTTTTAATTTTACAGTACATCGATTTGAGTTTTAATTTTTCCTTTCCTTTAAGTCTTAAGGACACTATTTCTTTATACAGGGATGTCCAGAGTTGAGATTCATCATCCTCTTTTTGTTCCTTTTCTGTTCTCTACCCTTCTGGTCTTCTCATCTCTGGAACCCCCAAAGACAGCATTTTAAACCCCCTGTCAGCCACTTGCTAGCCTTTTGAGGGGCTTCTCCCCTTTAGGGCTGTTCTTACTGACCTAATAATAACTTGCTTTTGAAGATGCAAGAGGTGGTCCTCCACCCTCTTTACTCTTACTCTTCTGGGCTCCCAAGTTTGGCCCTGTCCTTTTTTCAAGTTTGTATTTTCTCCTTTCCACAGAGGTTTGCAATACTCCCTTTAAGAAATCCCCTCCAGTCCCTGGCTAGCTCATTGTGACACACCAAGGTTTTGGTTTTGGTCCCTGGTTAGGGCACATACAAGAATCAACCAAGAATGCGTAAATAAGTGGAACAACAAATAGATGTTTCTCTCTCTTTCCCCTCTTCTCTCTCTCAAAAATATCAATCAATAAAATATTTCTGTAAAAATTCCTTTCACTCTTCATTATGTTTTAACAGTTTTTCATCCCATGCTCTTATCCCTGCCTTCTACCAACCCCATCCACCAGCCTTGCTGAGCTCCTGTGGGATTTCGAATTTTAGAAAATGGTCACATGTAGCCAAGTCCTGCTCTAGAAGGCAGAGCACTCCATTTCCTGCCCCCACCCCCATCCCATGGCCTTTATCTCTCCAGGCCTCCTCTCCTGTAACTCTGAAGCAGAGATGATAAGATTCCCAGAGGAAAGCATTTGCAAAGTGCTCTGAGTGCTTTGATGAAATTGATTGGGTAAATGGAAACATATTTTTTTTTGCAACTGCTCTAACCTATTAAAAAAAATAAGGTATGCAAATGCAATGACTCACCATTTAACAAATAATGAAGTTCTTTGTAATTTTAAATATTATTTCACAAGAGATTTTCCAGCAATGAAAAACCATAATGCTTTATTTGAAATGTTTAAAAAGTAAATACTGCTTGATATCTTTAAAGCAGTGCTTTCATTATCAATGACTGAATTAACATTTTGTTTCATTTGTCTAGCCTCTCTTTTGAAGGGTTTGAAACATGCCAATATTGTGCTCCTGCATGACATAATCCACACCAAAGAGACACTGACATTCGTTTTTGAATACATGGTGAGTTGCCCCAGCATTGTACAAAGCATGAAGGAAAAGCCTGGTGCTTGTATAATGAATCTGTTAATATTTTATGGCATGATAAAATTTTCATTACAACGTGGAACGTGTCATGGAAATTTTCATTATTATGATTAACAGAGCCTATTGTTCTTACGCCCATTCTTTAATCTTGCTTCTTTACCCACTGTATCTGCTCTTTTGCCCCTCACCAGCAATAGTAAATAAGAATTTTGAGTTTGCCTCCTAAATAAAACTTTTACACTTTTTTGAAATCTATTTTTAATCACTATCTGAGCAGAACTCAACATTTTTTCATTGACATAAATCACAAGGTTTCTAAAGATTGTATACAAGTTTACTAAAGAATAACTCATTTTAGCATTTTTGAGAGGAAAAACTATTCAAATATTAACAGAAAGACATCACTAGGTATGTGTACTTGACTTGCCTCCAAGAAGAGTGAAAAACCCCTCTGTCATCGTGTTTGGTGGCAGTCACTTAAGATGAGCATCTCTTTGTGCTGAGAAACAAGCTTCCTTCTAAGAGCAACCAGTTAGAAAGACACAGTGTTTGACCTTAACAGCAGGGTCTCAGAAAACCAGATCATGTAGCTTTTGCACCTTCTTCTCAAAAATTCTGAACTTTGTAATGCCTCTGACAGTCAAATCTGTGCTCTGCTTTGGGCGCTGTCCGAGCACCACTAACATCGGTCTCTCCACTGTTTCGTCCAGCACACAGACCTGGCCCAGTACATGTCTCAGCACCCAGGAGGGCTTCATCCTCACAATGTCCGGGTGAGTACTCTGCGGGTCAGGACCTCTGGTTTGCCCACAACAGCAGAATTTGGAAACAGACTGCTGGTGCAAAGCAAAGTCCCAAGGTATGAAATAAGATGGCCATCACTGATATTCTAGAGAAAAGTTAAAAACAAAAAGTTGCCTCTCAAGAAATGGAGCAATGTTTAGCTGTTTTCTGGGCAGCCCAACCTTGTCAGTCAATGCCCGCATGCAGGTGTGTCTCCAGAAGCATAAGCCACTTAAAAAGGAAGCAGTGAAGGTAGGCCATCATAAAATAAATACCTTTTTCAGGGCAAAGTACTGTGCTCTCTAACAAAGTTCGCATTGTATTTATAGTTCTCCACTAGAATTAGCAAACAAACTACTTTTGTTAGATCTTAATCAGTTACCCTTCTGCCTGTTCTATCAGATCCTATTACCTATGAGACTAGCTTCCATTTTTCCAGTCATTAGAATAGAAAAAATAATAAACTCTTACCTAGCTGTAATTCTACATGTTATAAATTTTAGAAACCATTTGTCTTTTATACTTTTCATTCCCTAAGGTTTTATTGTCACTAATTAATTGACTGGCACTTAACCTAACCACATGAGATTTGTATATTATGTACTCATTCATTTAACTAATAATTTATGTATTCATTTATTCATTCATTCAAGAAATATTTATTGAGTACTTAGTAAGTCCTTAGGTTTTACTAATGAACAAGTTGTGTTTCTTATTTTAAGTGTGCTTAAAGCTTCATAAGATTCATGGACTTAAATAGGCAGTGAGAAGCAAAGTGATAAGGCTATAGCCATATTAATAGGAATATTATGAGAACTCGTAATAAGGAACTCAATCTACTCTTGAAGACCAAGGGGAAAAGGCTTGAGGACAGAGGAGTTGAGGAGAGTGAAGAAATTTTAATAGCTATTGGAGAATGATATAGGAAACTAACTAGGGAAACCAAGAAAGTCTAGTAGTGTGTAAAGGTTCTAATGAGAATTAAAATCATTAAATTATCTGCATGATCATGGGACTTTTTTTAATGGCAGCACATAGCAATTCAAATAGAAGAGCAGAGAAAGTAGACAGTTTGATTAACTCAAAGTTGGGGTTTTGCCAGATAAGTGGGAGGAAAAGACAGTCTGGCCAGAGAATTGAAGAGAATGTCGAGTGGTTAGAGTGATGGTTAGTGGCGTCTAAACTGAGGGAAGGAAGTGAAGATAGGCAGGTTCCTGATAGGTAGAAATCAGAAGAGGCAACAATCAACTAAACTGTTGATTAAATAGAAGAATGGTTGGAGGAAAAAAATTACCATGAGAAAGATTTTCAGGTTTATGTAATTGATATACCATGTACTGCACTAAATGCCAAGGAGGGAAAAAGAGAAGACAGAGTCCTGCTCTCAAGGCACTTATATCCGAAAACAAGATAAAAGAAATAAATGCCAGTACAGGACATTGGTGAATAATTCCAAGTACGAAATAAGACCTGGTGTTGTAGGTGTATAAATAAGTAAAATGTATTTTCTCATTTTAAGTGGTTTCATTAAGCCAGAACTTTAAAAAATGCATGGCACTTTAAGAAGTGGAAATAGACCCTGGCTGAAATGGGTGTGGCTCAGTGGACTGAGTGCCCGCCTGCAAACCAAGGGGTTGCTGGTTCAGTTCCCAGTCAGGCACATGCCTGGGTTGCGGGCCAGGTCCTCAGTAGGGGGCATGTGACAGGCAACCACACATTGATGTTTCTTTCCCTTTCTTCCTCTTTTCCTGTCTCTTTAAAACTAAATAAATTAAATCTTTTTTTTAAGCTAAAATAGGGGAAGATGTTAGAGAGAGAAGAACTGTTTCCACCAAAGGTACAGAGCAGGGAAATAGAGGACAAATTTGAGGAAGAGGATCCCAGAGTTATGGGTTGTTAGGGTTAGGGGGCCAACAGTGGTGTTCGGTCTTCAGGTATGAAATCAATTTGGTAACTAGCACCCAACATTTTAAAAAATGAAATGGAATGGGTGAGAAAAGAAAATATTTTTGCAACTTATGTTCCAGTTGAAACTGTACTCGCGTGTATGGATATGAATACTAGGTGCATATGTATTTCTTACTGTGGCTGCTGGCTGTGGGGCAGGGTGGGGAGGCTTTAAAACACAATGGGTTGATGTAACTTTCTTGTTTTGCAGAGTTGCAGTCTAAGGTTTGAGAGGATAAACATTTTGCCTGAGGTTATAGAACCAGCTTTTGCTAAATATGACTCTTGGTTAGGGTACTTTTCCACTTCTACCACATTGCATCTCTGGTCCTGTTGGCCTGCCATATATTAATAGACTGTATTAGTGAAATAGGATGCATGAGTCCGGGGAAACAGATTGGGTAGGTGGCTGAGAGCCTTACTTTCTGAGATGTGGACTTTATTCCTTAGACATAGACTCATTAAAGGGGTTTGAGTTGAGAGAGAATGATGCGATCAAAAGGAAATTCATGTAACTGTGGCTTGTGGATTAAAGAAGGGGAACCAGAGTCAGGGATTCCAGCTGGGAGTTCACTGATGTGCTCTGGCCCGGTGCTTCCGAAACTTCAGTGAGCGGATGAATGACCTGGGGATCTGACTCAGTAAGTCTAGGGTGAAGCCTGAGCTTCTGCTTCTAACATAATCCCAGGTGATATAGATGCTGCTAGTAGAGGACCAAACTTTGAGTATCAAGGATCTAGGTGAGAAGTAATAAAGGCCTAAATTATGGTAGCGAAGGTAAGAACGGAAAGGAATGTGAAAATGGTAACAGTGAAGAGTTCATCAAGGACATGGTGACTAACTGGACATGAGGAGGGAAAGGCTGGGGCCAAACATGACTGATTTTGGGTCTGATTGACTAGGAGAATTATAGCTCCACTAATAGAAATAGAAGAAGCTAGTTAGGAGAAGAGGAGGAGTCCTTTTTCAGGCAGAATGAACTCCTAAAGAAATGAGCAGCGGGCAGCTGAAGAGGAGATTGGTGCGCAGGGGTGACATATGAGCTGGAGATGTAGATTTGAGGGTAATGGGCACAAGGAGTTTGTGGGTAAAGACAAGACAGTGGGTAACCAAAAGGGCAAATCCACAAAGGGAAATGAACTAATGATAGAACTTTTGCCTTTAGAGGCTGAGAAGAGGAACAGGATGGCCAAGGACCAAGGGAAGCAGCTTTTAAGAATGCAGATGATCCAGAAACATACATTTTCATGGAAGTCAAGGGAAGAGACAATTCCAAGGAGGGTATAGCTGAGGGTGTCACAAACACCAAGAATACAGTTGAAAATTATACTTGACTGCAGGGACCATGTAGATATGTGAGGGACACACACTAATAAACAGATGGTTGTGTTTTGGGCATAGGGAGACAGAAAAGAAGGAGTTATCCAATCAAAGCAGATGGGAGTAGGTATGAGTTTCCCATAGTAGAGGCAGCAGTGAAAAAGCTGGGATGACAGAGAAGACATGGTCTATTCCAAGAACTGATGATAATTCAGTAAAGCTGGAGGTTTGGAATTCGCAGAGTTGGAGATGATTAGAGATGAGACTTGAGAGGGAAGTAGGAGTCGGTGCATGAAGGGCCCAGCTGTATCACGTTATTCAATCTGAGGAGCCCCATTAACAGATTTTAAACAAGGAAGTGGTAACTTCGGATTTTTTTTTTTGTAAAGCTTACTCCGATGACTTTGTAGTGAATAGTTTGGGAAAGGGCAATACATTTTTGGGAAATGTTATAGTCCCTTGACCTCAGTCTCTCCTTGTTTTTTTCCTACTCCCACCCCATCCTCCCATTTCCTCCCATTCCCTTCCATTCCCTAAATGCTGGTGTCTGTTAGGGTTCCTGCCTTGACCCTGAGGCTAATCAGGACAACAGTGGTGCAGATGTGAGGTGACAGTGGAGGAGAGTGGACGTATATGCGATCAGTTACTTAGCTAGAATTCACAACAGACAAAAGAGTCAGCAATAGTGCTCCTCGCTTTGCATGTTTAGTATGGATAATGGCGCTATTCATTGAGAAAGAAAAAAAGAGGAGAAAGTGGATTTCAGAGGTAAGTAGTGAGGTAAGTTTTAGCCATTCTGAGTTTGAGATGATTATGGAATGTCCAAGTTTGAGGTGATTATGGAATGTTCAGACTACATAGATCTACAAGAAAGAGTCTAAGTTGGAGATAAAGATTTTGAAATCTTCAGAATACAGTCGTTAAGTGAATAGATAAGGTGGCTAAGAGAGAGTATGTGGAGTGATAAGAGAAGAATGTCAGGATGGCACCCTAAGGAATTTCAAAATATTAGAGATCAGAAGAGGAAGTGGATGGAACCTATAAAAAGATCAGTCAGAGAAGCAGGAGAAAAATTAGAAGACTGTAGTACCAAGGGAGAGAGCTTCAGGAAAGAAGGTCTCTCCCTAGTCAACAATGCCAAATGCTGCAAAAAGAAGGCATGAGAGCTATCCATTGGATTTCCATAGCAAAAGGAATTGATGACCATGGTAAAAAAAAATAATTATATATATATATGAATGATTTGATCAAAACAGTTGCATATGATGACAAGACCCACTGCGTTATTATGGAGTGAGAGGCTAAAGTTGATTGGAGAAGCAGATCACTGGAACTGAGGAAGTCAGCTTAACTCATTCATGTGGCTGCTGATGTCAAGGAAGCGACAGCTGTGATCCAGGAGCCCATGTCTTCAGTGAATGATGGAGAGTGGTGGGGACTGGTGTGGATGAGAGTGAAAAGAGGAGTAGAGAAAGAGGTAGCTGGGTGGCAAGAAACAGGGGTTTTTGTTTAAGAGTAGAGAAGTAATGGTTTTGAAGTGGTATTAAGGAGTTGGGAGACAGTTGACCCCACCTCCCCGTGATCAAATGTATGATGAGTAAGCTGTAGAAAGAACTAACATCCACTTCCCTATAGCATTATAGGGAAGCAGTGAAATCAAGGTCCCATTTAAGGGAAGGAGCCAGAAGGAAATTCATCAGAGGTTGAGTTGTAGAGGTTTTTTAAACCAGGACTGAGGAGTGAAGAGAGCAGTGAAGAAGTTCGGATGAGGAAGGAACCATGGATACTGGATTAAATAAAAGGAAGCCCAGAGCAATATAGACGTGAGCTTATGGGAAGAAAAAAGAATAGTCAGAGAGGCTTATTTTTTGAGGAGTGACCACAGGAGATATAGTGAGACATGGGAATCAGAGTGAGGTTCACCAGTGTTAGATTTAACAAGCCCCAGGGATCCCTGGTGAGTGGAAGGACTCAAGCTTCCCTGCAGGAGTTGGCTGACTGTTCTGATTGTTCTGAGGGATTCCAGTCCAGATGGCGGTCGCCCAAAGGAATTACATTTTGTTCCCAAGAGTCTCATTGTGCTGTAAAGAGAACTAACCCCTGGGGTATGGGATGCCTCTCTGGAAAGAGTCACCCACAGATCTGGCTTGATGCGGACTGTAAAAAAACCCCATCAAATTGGGTCATATTATCGATGAAGCTTTGGCAGTGTTGAAGGAAGAATCCAGGTTGTGAAGGATTAAAGAGTGAGTGGGTGGTGAGCTTAGTCAGCACACACTGCAGCTTTGAGAAGTGTGGCTGTGAAATACCATACCTTAACACCACAGTGCTTCACCGCTTGCAAATGCTTGTAGACAGACATGGAGCCCAGGAGGAAAGAGACTGAGAGCGAGAAGGTGGGAGGCAGGCGTGACTAATTAGTGAGAACAGGCCATCCTTGGGACATGAAAGGCATTTCAGCCTGGCCCACTGAGGAGCTCGGTTTCTGACTCAGCTGCCGACTCCCTCTCTGCCTGTCATGTTTTAATTTTCTGTCTTTTCTCCGGCTTCTCGGGATGGTGTAGTGGAGTCAGGCGGCCCTGATTTTGACACCTGGCCCTGCCTTTTTCTAGCCATATTTTTAAAGTTTCCTATTTTTTTTTTTTAATCTGTAAATTGAGGACAAGCCTATCTTCCTCACAGAGTTGTTTTGAGAATTATAAAAAGTGATAGGCATTCACTTTTCTCTCTCTTCCTTCTCTCTTCCTCACTGGTCACCATCTTTCAGTCTCCTGTTTTACCCTGTCCTGAGTCCTTTCCCACTGAGCAGCATATACTATGGCATCTTATCTTTCACCCGGAATTTCAGTTGGTTCTTTATATTGTCTTTTCCATGAACATTATAACCAATTAGAAAGTTTAAATGATGACACAAGAATTTTGTGTTTTGGTAGCATAGTGATTTGATGAATGGAAAGAGTAAACAGTGTGTTTTTGAAGCCCCAAGGAGATAAAGCTTTGGGAACATTCACAGAACCAGGGAACATGTGAAGTAGAAGCCTCAAGAAACTTTCAGCATTCTTAAATGGCTTGTACAACTGATGTGTGGCCTGCATCAAACCTACATGGCCACAGCTGTTCTATGGTAGGTGGACTCCCCAGGCTCCTGCTTCAGTCAGACCATGCTGCGCATTACCCTGGCTACGATGTCTCCAAGTCATTGGTCGATCAGGACAGGTCCTAGCATCTCTGAAGTTCCCGGTTTTCAAGATGTGATGGAAAAAGTGGATTTATCCGCATAGCTCTGTATCTGGTACTTTGCCTGTGTCCCCAGGAATGCTGGGGCTGGTCCTTTCTTTTCTAAACTGTCAGAACATGTTCTCAGTTGGCATAGGCTTTTGTAAACACTAATGTTGGTGTTTAAATTCTCAATTGCCAGTGGCACTGGAAAATAGCAAAAGACACTTGGAAAACTAAGCATTTTTTTTTAACCTTAAACTTCTATAATGATGGGAACCTAAAAATGGCTGGTTTCTGTGCCTTATTATAACATGCAACATTTTAAAATTTGGGCCCAGAATGTATTTTTCCTGCTGTTTCCCCTACCTTCTTTCTTCTCTCTTCCATTTACTCCTTGTTCTCTTTTGAAATTTTTTTATCTAATTTATTTTGATCTCTCTTCCCTCTTAATTTATATTTATTTCCCTTATTTTCAACTTTGAACTTAAGACTTTAAAAATAGGTTTAAAAAGATAATGGCTCCTTTATTTCCTTTTACCCTCTAAGGGTATATTTTCCAGTTTGGTCTCCTCGTGTTGTGTTTTTTAAAGGGTTTCATATCAGAGAGCCTGGAAAAATAAAGCAGTTGTAAACCTTTGTATATCATTTCCAGGTCAACTTTGATCTCATATGCCAAGTTCATCAGTGGGGGAAAAAAATTAAATCTCTTACATCTAAATCAATAACTAGTGTTCCAAAGGAAACTTGCTTTAGATTTTTAAGGAAGGATAATTCCTTCAATATCAAAGAAATGCGATGTCACGGAAAGCCAGAAACTCTTTGTTTAGGACATGGACTACTTACCTGACTTTCCTTGTCCTTTTTCCTCCAATAAACATAAAATGTTCTCTCTCTCTCTGCCCCCCTCCGCCCACCCCTGACTCTCAAGAGACACTTTCACAATATTCTTACAGATGAGTGTTTTTGATTTAGCGGAGAAATCCACATAGTGGCTCAAATCTGTTTAGATAAGGTGTTCATTCCTTCCAGCTTTTCATGTTTCAACTTTTGCGGGGCCTGGCGTACATCCACCACCAACACGTTCTTCACAGGGACCTGAAACCTCAGAACTTACTCATCAGTCACCTGGGAGAGCTCAAACTGGCTGATTTTGGTAAGCTGCCCCGCGAGTCTTTTTCTGGGCTGTGAACAATGCTGCTTTTGTGTACGCATGTTTAAAGCATTGACGAGGCCTGGCCTTTGAAAAGTCGAGGCCCACAGAGTGTGATGCTTTGTGATGATATTAAACTACCACAGAGAAAGTGTGAGGCACGAAACAAGGAGAGAATGGTAGCTTTAGGATTCTATCAAATTCCAGTCTAATCAGACCTAAAAACTTTTGCACCCCTATTAGCCACTGCCATTTTTTATACAGAGACATCTGCAAGAGTGAACTGCACTTGGTAGGTTTCTGTAAATCTAGGGGGATATACAAACTCCATCAGAGTAGATTGAGGATATCCCAGGACAGCAGGGTGAAGCTCCAGACAGACTCCTGCAAGGAATGCCCCAGGACACTTGTTCCTGCTCAATTGTGTGTCTAGACAGGTGTGACCGTAAGGCTTGTATTTTCATCAAAGTGATACAGATTTCTCCTGAGTGTTATTCTAGCTTTCCATTTTAGTGCTTACCACAGTTTATAATCACACACACAGGTACACACACACACATACAACACACCTGTGTGACAATTTTGACTCCTCCACTAGTCTAGAGGCATTATGATGACAACCTGGGTCCATGTTTGCTTATTGTTGTATCCCTAGTGCCTGGTACCATAGCAAGTACTCAATAAATATTTGTTGAAAACCTAGTTCCGTGTGAGCTGAGGAACCATACTTCTGTTTGGCAGATGTCAAATAGTTGTACTCTAGCTGCAGTACTCTATTCTGAGATAGTAGCTTTCATCTGGGTAGGGAGGCATTTAACAGACTTTCATTTATCAACTCCCCACAGCAGTGACTCATCTATTGAATATTTGTCCAGCTATAGATCATGTGATTTTGTGAGATCAGTAGCTGACTAAGGAAGTACTCTGATTGCACAGAGGAGTGCTTGAAACAGACTCGTCCGAAGTCCTACCAAACTAACTAATTTAGGTTAGCAATCCCCACCCTTTCTCTAACTGAGGATTCTGCACTGCTCAAGTGGAGGCTGGCCATGTTAGTTATGGACCGAGTTCTATTACTGTTACAGAGACCCGAAATCACAGAGGTGTAAATAGGCTAGAAGCTGAACATACTCTCACATACCATCTGACCTAAGCAGTCGGAACTTGTAAGGAGGCCCCACCATCCCTAGGATGTCGTCCCAACTACATATTTCAAGATGACTGCCACCGCCTTCTCATGACAGCCTGGTGGAGGAAGAGAAGGAAGGAACGCTTATCCTGTCCATTAAGTGCATGATCTGGAAGTTCACACATCACTTCTGTTCATGTCACAGGCAAGAATTTAGCCAGGAAGGCTACATCTAGATGCAAAGGAGGCCAAAATTTGAGAAATTCACTTGATAAAGAAGTACACAAGGATCAAGATAGCTGAGTAGCTTTATTAAAAGCACCCAGAGTTTGTGTATTAGTATTAAAAAATTGTTTACTCAGCCAGCTATACCCTCCTTGGTAGAATGTGTCACTGGGTCCTCCAGGAAATCCCAGGATGATGAGTTCTGTGCTTCTCCCCTTTGGTCAGGTCTTGCTCGGGCCAAGTCCATTCCCAGTCAGACATACTCTTCAGAAGTTGTGACCCTCTGGTACCGCCCTCCTGATGCCTTGCTGGGAGCCACTGAATACTCCTCTGAACTGGACATATGGTAAGAGCTAGTGCCAAAAAAAATGAAGAAATATGTCATCCTACCCTTGAGGGTTACCTTATCATTTGTATTACATGTGTAATAATAACTCCAATGACAATAACATTTGTCTATAGAAACATTAAGTACTTTCAAATACATAGCTCATGTGATTTTTTTCAAATCATCCTACAAGCTTTTACAGTTGAAGAAACTGAGACTCAGAAAGGTCTTGCCCAAGGCGTCTTCTGAATCCTGTACTCTTTCTACCATGCCTCACCTCCTGGTTTTTTTCTTCAGTCTTTTGTCTTTTCTCCTGGTCCTTAGAGAAACACGCATACACTCCCAAACCACAGATATGCACACACACACTCACTCATCTGTGCATGCATGATCACACATGCCCAAATACAGTTCCGAACCTAGTGAAAAAGCATAAAGAGCAAGAATCAGGAGACCTGATTTTTATGCCAGTTCTACTCCTAATCAGTTTCTCTGGATTATGTTATCTTGAAAAAGTCACGTATCTTCTTTGTGTCTATGCTCCTCCACTTTGAAAGATTTTATTTATTTACTCTTTTTTTTTCAAGAGGGAGTAATGGAAGGAGGAAGAGAGGGAGAGAAACAGCAATGGGCGAGAGATACATGGATCAGTTGCACACACCTCTAACTGGGGACCTGGTCTGCAACCTAGGCATGAGCCCTGATGGGAAATCAAACTGGCAGCCTTTCAGTTTGCAGGCTGATGCTCACTCAATCCATTGAGCCACACCAGCCAGGGCTGTTTCCCCATTTTTTTAAATGAGGGTAACAAACTGTCCTATGAGAGGTTAGATGGGACTGCAGTACAAGTATAAGAACCAGATGGATGCTGTGGAGTAGAACCACATTGTCGGGGAGGCTCTCGGACTAATGGGATACAATGATAGTGTGGGATCTCAGACAGTCCACATTCCTAGAGCAGCAGTGTTGTGTTTTCTAGACCCTATTCCTGAAACTGTGGCCCCCAGTTATCAGGGGGCCACAGTTAGATGTGTGGTGGCTGCAGCCACAGCCACCTCCTCAAAGGTAACAAAATCCGTGGACTTCTTTCAAGATCTTAAAAGGTCATATGTAAACAGAGGGCCCTGGGGTTTTTTTTTCCAACCAATAATGGATTAAAGAAATTAAACAGTATCTTAAAGGGCTAAACTAGGCTTTGGATTTCTTAAAGAATTGAGAATGGTTGCAGAAATTATCCTCCAGTGTATCTGGAGTCATTGATTTTCCAATACCTGGTGCCATTCCTGCAAGTATCGTCTGCTAGTCAAAACCCTTCCGGTACCTCAGTGCTCATTGTCACTTCAAAGGCCCTTGATGGGCTCTGCTTTCTCAGCTCTTAATGATCGCTTTCTAGTTGTGCTTCGCAGATAGAGTGAAACTTCTACTTATCACTTTGAAACTTTGTTTTATTATGGATCATTATTTAAAACATCCAAAAATATATATAACATATATTTACATATGTGTTTCTCAACAGGGTCAATTTTGCCTCTGATGAATGTTTGGCAGTCTCTGGAGGCATTTTTTACTGTCACAGCTGGGTGGGTGGTACTACTGGTACCTAGTAGGCAGAGGTCAGGGATGCCGATAAACATCCTACAATACACAGTATAGTCCCCCGCAGCATAGGTGCATCCAGTCCACAATGTCAACAGTGTGAAGACTGAGAAACTGATGTAGATTGGGAAGCGTAATGCAGTCAGCTCCATAAATCCTCTTTCCAATGGAGCAACTAGAACATAATACTGTCACTCCTGCTTGGGTCCCTTTCCCATCAACCTAATGCCCACGAGAGGGGCCTCTGCTCTGCATTTTTTCTCTCGTGTCATTCCCTTGCCCCTTTTAAAAATAATACTTTTACATTTTAAATGGATTCTAAAAAAGATTATTTTGTTTCACCTGCTTTTGAGTTTTTATAAAAATGGTGTTATATTGGTTTTAGTTTTCTGTGACTTTTTATTACTCAACATGTTTCTAAGGTTCCCTCATGTTGAACTATGTAGTTACACTTTATTTCCTGTTGATGAATATTTCATTTAGTTTGTTTATTGTCTTGCTTGTTTTTGCTATTATGAATATACTTGGCATTTACATTTAAGGATTTCTCAAGGGTACTTAGGAATATATCTGCTGTGTCACAGCATGTGATGTTTAACTTCACAAAGTAGTGCCAAGTTGTTTTCCAACAGTGGTTGTAATAATTTATACACCAGCAGTGTATTGTTATAGTTCCTTATCCACATCTGCACCAACTTTATAATAGCAGACTTCTTAGTTTTTGCTAATCAAGTGGGTAGAATAGTATGATGTTATGATCTAAAATTTCTAATTACTACTAATGAGTTTGCACATCACCTGGGGATTATTTGCCATTTGTGTTTTCTCTTCTATGAAATACCTGTTTCTCTTTATTTATTTTCTTTTGGTCTCTCTGTCTGTCTCTGACTATCTCTCCCTTTCTCTCATCCTTTCCTTCCCTTTCCTTCTTTATTGATTTATAGGAGTTCTTATATTCTGGAATCTGTTGTCAGTTGTGTGTGTTGTCAGTGAGCCTCCCCCAGTTTGTGGCTTATGTTTTCACATCTTTACACTTTATTAACATAAGTTCTTAATTTTAATATTGCTGAGTATACCAATCTTTTCTATTATGATTAGCCCTTTTGCTTTTTGTTTATAAAATGTTTCCCTTCCTTAGGTCAGAATGATACTGTCCCATGCATTGTTTTAATAGTTGTAATGATTTTCCCTTTCGCTTTAACTCTTGAAACATTGGGAATTGACTTTTGCGTATGCTAACGAATTATCTGATGCCAGTTTCTTCAGCTATCTGCTCTCCCAAATCTCTCGCATATCAAGTTTCCATAAATGCATTGGTCTGTTTCTGTGCTCTCTATTCTTTCCCACTGGGGTCAGTTTATCTGTTCCTGTACCAATGTCACGCTGTAGTTCCTATAGCTTTATAATAATACTTCAGATTTGGTAAGACAAGTTTCCCCACTTCTTCTTCCAGAGTGTCTTGGCTATTTTTCCCCTCTGATTTTTCATATAAATTTTAGATTCAGTGTTTCAAGTTTCATAAAAAATCAAGTTTCATAAAAAATGAGATTTTCACTGGAATTTCATTCTAATCATAGAATACTATGAAAATAACGAACATCTTTGTAATATTGTCTTCCAGTGTTTAAACATGGTATATCTCTTGCCCTGACTAATATGGCTGAGTTGGTTGGGAGTTATCCCACTAAGTGAAAAGTTGATGGTGAGATTTCTGGGTTGCAGGTTCGGTCCCCGGTCAGGGTGTGAATGGGAGGCAAAAGCAACCAGCAGTTGCTTCTCTCCCTTTTTCTCCCTCCCTACGCCTCTCTCTAAAAATAAATAAATAAAATCTTTCTTACAAAAAACATGGTATAGCTCTTCATCTGTTTAGTTCTTTAATGTCTTTTAGTAAAGTTTTATAATTTTCTCTCTAAGATCTTACATTATTGGAGCAAAGATTGTTGTTGTAAATCTATTTTTGTTGTTTATTGTTTCTTTTAGTTCTTGTATATGATATCTTTTTTCTGTGCATGTTTAGTTGTTTTTGAGAGTGATATGCTAGTTTTCCTTAAAATTTCATCTGTGGAATTTTTTTGAGACCTTGAATGACATGGGTTCTGTCAGGGAGATTTGCGTTTGATTCCGCAAGGTGTATTTTTTAATAAAGAACTTTATTGTTGTGTCTTATATACATGTCTGTCTGCCACCCAGATCTTAATTTCTTAATATCATTCCCTACTAAGGAGAACTAGAACTTTTTGAAGAAATGGTTAATTCTAAGGCTAAGGCAGAAGAAAGTACAAGATAGGTCAAGGACATCTTATTGGGTGGGAAAATTTTTTAACAAAGTGATAAAAAAATGATGGAAATATGTCAAAAGGACATGGGAAGCAGCTTGAAGAGATTCCCACTAGCCAGAGCTGGTACAATTTAAGCATCAACATCAATGATTAGAGTAATGGATTATAACCCACTGGAAAAAAAATAGAATACATAAGCCTACATTAAAGATAGCCAGGTGGTAGACAGAAAGGAAGCTCTTCCTTTCTGTAGAATGCCAACTAATAACTGGAGAAGAAATGATGGAGTTCAAAAATCACTACTTGTAATATCATAATAGTACCTGATTCAAATAAGCATCATCAATGCTAAACTAAAGGGGAAGTTTGATGGGGAATAAGATATTTACATAGTCTCAAAGTACCTCTCCACAAATTGCTTATTAACTACAAAGGAAAAAAATAGTAACTCTGTAGTAGAGAAAAATGACAGATGCCACCTTAACCAAGTAATTAGAGATTATATTATCAATATGAGACTAACTGATATTCTATACCTCATGATATGATGCACCGAGAAGGATATAATATCACCCAGATTTTCCTGAGGAAAAAAAAAAAAAGACAGCATAACCTGATGAGACCATAAGGAAACATCAGATAATCTCAATTGGAGAAACCTTCTGCAACATAACTGGCCTGTACTCTTTAAGAGGTGAAGGGAAGGAAAAAATTTTCTCTATTCCCTTATGTTTTGTGGATGGGCCTGCAAAGTAAACTGGTGGAAAATCAGATTAACAGGAGAAAGGCACACAGATTAGATTTGATGTTTAAAGTATTACATGGCATGGAGGAGGTGGCTTCCTAACAAGAAAAGAAAAACCCCAAAGAAGCAGTTAGGCTTGGAGGCTTTTATACCACTCTGACAAGGGACAGTACACTGTCAAGAAGTGACAAGGCAGAGGAAAAAGGTGTCTGAATTTTTCAGGGGCCATAGACTGTGGAAAGGTAAATCTATGGGGACCCTACTAGTAGATAAGGGTTACTTAGCAGGTTTTTCAGTGTAGATTTTTCTTGGTGCCATCTCTCTCTGGTGATAAGGTGGGGCTCCCCTGCTGGTGTGGAAAGGGTGGGAGGAGGAGGAACATCTTCACAAGGGGAATT